GAGGAAATCTGCATCAGTCATGAGGAAGAACCGCTTGTATTGAAGGAGGAGACTGAGACCTTTATGGCTGCTTCTACTTACGAGGAATGTAAATCAGAAGCAAGCAGTGACCAGTTCCTTTTTCACAACTCTCCTGACCCAGAGATCCTAGAACAAGAAGAAAGCGAGCATGTGGACTTAACATCAAGTAAAAAATTATTAAAATGTGACACTTGTGGAAAATTTTTTCAGTATCAGTCCAAACTTAATAGACATCTGAGAGCTCACACAGGTGAGAAGCCATATTTTTGTGCCACATGTGGGAAGAGATTTAGTCAGATGATACACTTAAGAAAGCACATCAGAATTCACACAGGTGAGAAGCCTCATCCTTGTAGCATCTGTGGAAATAAGTTTAATGACATGTCAGCATTCAAATCGCACATGAGAATTCATACCGGTGAAAGACCATATTCTTGTAGCACCTGTGGGAAAAGTTTTAGCCAAATGATACACTTGAAAATTCACATGAGAGTTCACACAGGCGAGAAGCCGTATTCTTGTGATATGTGTGATAAAAGATTCACTAATTTGATAAACTTGAAAACGCACATAAGAATTCACACGGGAGAGAAACCACATTCTTGTAACATCTGTGGGAAAACCTTTCGTCAGAATTCGACGTTGCAAACTCATCTAAGAATCCACACAGGTGCGAAACCATATTCTTGTAGCACCTGTGGAAAAAGATTTAGTCATATTAAAAACTTGACAACTCACTCAAGAATTCACACAGGTGAGAAGCCATATACTTGTAGCACCTGTGGGAAAAATTTCAGTCAGTTGACTCATTTAAAAAGTCACATGAGAATTCATACTACCTTAGAAAATGTAGCAGAGTAGGAGTGTGTGACTGTTAGAATGCATAGTGAGGAAAATCACAGCTACACCTGAGGGGAAAAACAGATGACCTTATATTCTGGTCAGTATGGAATAGCTTTTAATAATAGTCATTCAAGTTGGCTGTGTTTTTGTTCTGATGTAATTGGAAGCCCAGTTTTATAAAGGGTCTCAAATAAGCCAGTTTTTAGAACATTTCACGGTACAAATTTTAAACCTGTATAACCAGTCCTGTGAAATTTTAGCTTCATATATTAAACAAAAACAAAACAAAAAGTTATATGTTTTAAGTTACTTTCAAAACTTAAATGGTTTCTAACTAAGTCGTAAAGTGATAATATTCTATTTTCATTCAGCTTTCAAGCATTTGAGCAAATACGATAAATGTTTTAACAAAAACAAAAATATCCGTAAAGAGTTTAATCTGAATAGAACAAGTTTCTAGATGGTTGTGTAATTACAACTCAGAAAATAATTTCATTAGATATTTGCATGTTTAACCTCCTAGGACCTGCCGTCCACATATGTGGACATCAGATTTTGGGTTATTTAGACCAAAATACTAAATTTTGCTCAACAATGGCCTGATATCCACTTACGAGGACATTATACTGCTACTGTTCTATCGAAATTTTAAACAAATGTCCTCATATGTGGCTCTCATTTTTCTTAGAAACAAAAATCAGGTAAAAAAAAAAAAATCTGGTAATTCTTTGTTTTTACATTTATTAGGTCCCAATATACCCAGATATCAAAGATAAATTAAAAATGCATGCCGTGGAAGAGTTTGGGTGTTAGGAGGTTAATCAAATCATTAAATCTGATTTTTATCAAAACAGAAAGTTTCTGTTGAGCCTTCTCCAATTTACATAACAATGTTATGTTTCAAAGTGCGGGCATATTTTCCCTCTTTTCATATTTTAACAAGAATTATCAGAGTTGTCCAAAAGCAGTATTTTTTTTCCTCTTCTGCCTGTCAGCTTAGACATTGTCATATTATAATATACTATGTTACATATAATCTAATAACTGAAATAACACAAATAGAATGATAAAATAAGCCAATAAAAGAAACATAAACAAGAGGAGCCTATAGAGACTTTATAGAATGTATCTTGGAAAAGCTACATATGTTTGGCACAATGTTTTTACACCATAATTCGTATTTTAAAAGCTGCTAGACAGGACAGGATTTAATTTGTTAAAAAGCATCAAATTACATTTCCATAAAAACAAAAAGTTTCTGTTGAACCTTCTCCAATTTGAATAAAAATGTTCAGAGTTGTGTAAACAGTAGGACTCAAAATGGTAGGTAGGTAGAGTAGGGGGGAAAGGGCTGAAAGTGGGTCATTGGACCATTTTACAAAACAAACCAAAAAACTATTCAATATATGAAGCTAAAATTTCACGGCAATCAGTATAAATGGTTAAAATTTCTACTGTAAAATTTTTATGCAAATCTGAGATGGGCTAGCAGAAATCTTTGTTGATTTGACACAGACTTACCCAGAAGTCAACAAGTAACATAAGCCCAGTTTATGAATAGCAGGTTTACTCTTCAGCTTCAGAAGCTTTTATAAGTGCTTTGAAGCCATGGAGACAAAGTTCCAGCTTGAATATGCTCTGAAGGTTATTTCATCACCGAGATGGAAAAAAAGAAAATATTATTCTACTAATTTCATCCTAGTTTTAAATATTTGATATTTTTATTGTTTTATTAGCCACTAAACAGGTTCCACTA